GGGTACTTTCGTGTGATGACGGGACCGGAAGTTCCGCAAGCTCGATTCCCTCCTTCAAGAAGAGGTCCTGTGTACGTGCTATGCATTCCTCGCAAGGACGGTGTTGCGGACTTTGGGATGGTTGATCAGCTCATTCGCGAGCAATGCGAGTCGAAGAAAGACATGCCGCCGCTGAGCATTGAGGCCTTTCTCACGAAGCTGCACACGACCCTGGTGGAGGTAACCGCTTCAGGACGGCCACAACGCCGCGGAGCCATGTCTTACATGGACACTCCTGTCCTCGGTGGCAGCTCAGCACGAGCTGCTCGGCTTCACGGCTGCCGAAGATTCTGCCCATGCCCGAGGAATCCACATTCGCACTTGCAGAAGGCAGTCCTCACAGAGTTGACATGCTCAGGAAATGTTTGGAAACGTACCCTGACGAGGATCGCCCAGCTTCTGCGCAAACCGAATAGTTGATTTGTTCCGGAACACAGCCCATTTCAGCCTCCATGATGCTTGAAAAGTTTTTGCGCAGCATTCGTTTCGCTGAAGCACTGGGCCATGCGCACGAGTCGCTGTACTTTAAAAGCGCAGACTAGTCTGCAAGTCAGTTGTGCACTGTCTTGCGGGCCATGTGCGCACCACAAGGCAAGGAGTCACAAAATTGGTTTGCAGCCTCCATCTTGTATGGCTAGCCGCTAGATGCTCATGCTCTGCTGGTGTGACGGCTGCATCAGCTTTCGTTCATGTGTTGTCTGCTTGCACACGGTCCTGTCGCACGGTCCAAGGATTCTTTCCAGGGATGATGGTGATGGTTATGGTGACGACTGACGACACCAATGGTGAGTCTTGATTGATGACGAAGAAGATGCCGTGGATGCTCCCCTTTCGCATCCTTATAGCATTATAGTACCCTTACAGTGTCTCTGAAGTAACCTTTACAGTACGAGATAGTACCCTTACATTTCCTTGCAGTACGTTTTGTACCCTTCAAGTATCCTTATAGTATCCGTAAAGTACACTGAAAGGAATCCTTCGTCCCCCTGTAGTAGTGCAGTTTCTAATGCCCAAGAGGAGCGTTGTCGAGCTCCTTTGCCGGGTTCGGGATAAGCAACATTCATCCCGAAGGAAGCATTGAGGCATCGAGATGCAATGAGGCAGTTCTGAACTCATCTTGGACGTTGGCTCTAAGTATGCTTCAATGGTATTCGATGGTTCAATGGTGGGCACATGGGATAGTAGACTTCTCCGGCCCACTCCCCTGTTCTTTTGTCCCAGATTTCACTAATACATCCCCGCTTGAGCCGCGATCGGCACAACAAGACCTTCAGGACGATCCCCACTCCTAAAATATCACCAGCGTCAGGACCTTGGGATCCCGTCGGTGAGCTTCTGATTGCTGGCTTGGCCTTTCTGGTCCGGTATCGGCTTCGGCTTGGGTTAACGGGGCGCAACAGCCCCTGGTTGTGATGGGAAGACGACGATTCTGGGTCAGCCCAAGGTTCCGCGTTCCGGGTCGTAAAAACCCGCAGCTGCAGCCTGAATACCCGGAGGACCAAGCTGTTCAGTTTTTTGTTCTTTGAGCTCCGACCCATGTTGCCGATGCTCGAAGCCGTGAAGTTCAAGGCCTCACGGAAGCTTACCAGGCCCTTTGAGCTTCTACGAAAAAACACCTTAGGTTGTAAATCCCAAGACGAGAAATCCTACACCCCAAAGCCTCTCACACCCGAAACATGCAGGGTCCTAACTCGGGCTTTGAGCCAAGGAGCCTGCGAAAAACCAGGTGTCGAAGTTTCGGGGGCCCTTGGTTTTGGACCCAAGGGGGGGGGCTTTCTGAACGCTAGTCCTCTTTGAAACAGAGCACTCTGTTTGATTATATTCCGCCTTGTCAGGAAGTTCGATGGGTTCCTACGGTTTCCGCATGGCTTTATGTGGGACTTGCTTGCTTTGATTTGATTTTGCCATTGAGGGTCTGTACTAGATATTCATGTATGTATGTAGGAATGTATGTATTCTCTAGACAACAAGCGAAGGCTCAGATTTTGGCTGAGACGGTCTTGTGCAAAGGTTCATGGTGGAACCTGCCGAGTCCTTAAAAAATGGGTCCAAGACAATCGCGCCCTTTTTCCTTGTATTCTCTTCAGCCGAGTTGAGGCCTGCAGTCCAAGATGTGCTCCTAAGCTCTCGGGAGCGAAAGATTGCCCGCAATGACCGGCATAGGACGCAGGCTGCGAGTGCAGGTCCGTTCGCCTTAGGCGTGTGTCAGCTTGTCGGTCTCACCTTTTGTTTTCAATGTTCCACGTGCTGGGCCCTCAGAACCTCCCAAGCATTATCAGCTTGTGATTCATAGCAAACCTGAGCCGTCAGCCCTCATGATGTTGCAAAGTCTAGCAGTACATGGCTTTGTCTGACGTTCTGATTCTTCGTTGCAGAAGCTGAATCGAAATCCGCTGCACGCCCTGTAAACCAAGAACCTGATAGTGCTTGCCAAACTTGATGTTCCGGGCCTAGCAATCGAGGCCTCGCAATTTCTCTAAGAAGGGGGTGCCAGGAAAAGAAAGAAGCGCATGCCGCTCCCCATGGGGAAGAAAGGAGTCTTTGTCGATCCTCGCATACGGTGTCAGATAGATTGTATGCGAGGCTATTCGGGCTGGTCCGAAGTAGCTTGGAGGGGGTCTGTGGTCCGAACGAAGAATGTTGCGCGACTCTGCGCAGTGTAAACACGCTTTTCCTTCCTTTCGAAGCGTCCTTCAACAGAATTCCAGACTTCAGCAAGGCCTTAGGCCTACGAGGCCAAAAGCCCTCTGCTGGACACCTTTTTTGCAGCTATTCAAAGACCACGCCCATGGCAGGAGAAGGCGTTGTTCATCGTAGATGCAGAGGGCCTTTTGGCTGCGATGGCTTTGAGGGCGGGGTTGGATTTCAAGCTTGAGCCTTGGAGCTATCAAAGACAACCCGTGAGCACTACAACAAGACTTGAACGGGCATAGGAGGCCTTGTCCTTATGATGTTCCACCAGGAATCGTGCAGGACACTGGCATGACGTGCCGGGCCGCTGCCACACGGGGCCCACTGGCACACAGGCGCCGGATTTTGTGAGCTTGTGAGGAAATGCGGAACTCGATTTTTTCCGAGTCTTTATGATCCAAGGACTTTGGTTTCGGAGATGAAAAGACGGGATCGAACCGTTTCGGGAGTTTCGAGTCTGGAGGTTACCAAAGCAGTCGTCAGAGCTCCCAAGGCATCCGGCATGTCTAGGCCATTGCGTAGCCTTAAATGCTGCTGCGGACCGCGTTGTCCGGAAGGCTTCGCCGTCTCTACCGCAAGAAGCAGCTGCGGAGGTGCTTTGGACCTGACTGCAGATTTCCAGAGTCAGCAATCGAGTACAATCGAGTTCAGCAAATCTGCGTCGAGCTAAGAGAAAATCTGGCAGAAGGCCCACAGTGCCATCACCAGAACAGGTCGCCGGCACCCGATTTCCCGGTCGCCTGCGCGCATCCAAACGGCAGGGAAGCTCGGAGATTTCGCAATGGCAAAGTGAGCGAAGGCTTGTGTAATCGGCCGGAGGCTGGGCATTGTCAGTCAGGTCGTATCGAAACAGCAACAGACTTGGATGTCATATAGGTCCGAAGATCTTCAAAAGATCGAAGCCTTGCATCGGTGGAGGTCAACATGAGTCATGCAGTAAACTCCAGTCGCCTTCTTCGTGCAATATCATGCCATCCGTGCGGTCTGAGTAGAATCTTAATCAGGATGATCATAGGGCCTTGAGCTGGCTATTTGAGGCTTCGTGAGCTGGGTCTTGCCCACGCCTCCTACGCCTCTCGGATGAGTTGAGGTTCTAGAGGGCTTTGGACTTTCGGGCTTTGGAGAGCACTGCGGTGGCTTAGTTAAAGATGCAAGTAGGGTTCACTAGGCCTTGTGGAAAACTGGCAGATGACCGGCTGTCTGTAACAGTCATGAACTTGCGGAGCACTTTGTGATACATAGCACCGGTCGTAGATAGCGTCCGTCGCACATCCCGAATCAACTCGCTTGGTCCAGCGGCATTCACGACCGGTAAGCCCAAGGACCCCCGTGCACATGGCGAGCACCGCACCGCTGCATCCGCCCTGGGCCTGGAATGGTAGCAGGAATCAATCCCTGCCTCTGTCGCTCTCTCTCTCTCTCTTTCCCTCTCTCTCTAGCTTTCCGTCTCTCTCTCTCTCGCTCTCTCTCTCTCTCTCTCTCTCTCTCTCCTACTTAACACCCTTTTGTTTATTTGCAGTATTCTGGGCCAATGGGACATAGTTCAGCCCTCCGAGGCCTGTCTGCCGCATCGATCTGGAGGGACATGCGGCTTGCCTTGGGTCAAAGCCGGGTTTCCAGGTGATTGTTTGGCGGAGGAGATGCGGCGGCAAGAGGTGCAGCAAACAAGGTTGCAGCTTCCACTGACCGAAACTCGCGGAAGGAAGTTTCAATCTCAAAGGTCCACGACATCGCCGGTCTCAAGCCGCCACAGTCGCCCGCCGACATCCACTGCTGGGAGAGGTGCGGTAACGCAAAATGGCAGGGTTTTCGATCACCTTCGAGGGCTTGCAATCTCTTCGAAAAAGCAGCCAAGAGCGTAGTGAAAAAGGATTTGGTAGGATGTTTCGCCTTGCGCAGCGGCTTAGAGCCAGGGCGGGCCAGGGATTCACACTAAAGTTGCGGGCTTGAGACCAGGGACGCAGAGCGGTTTTTTGATCCATCACGCAAAGCTTCTGTATTGCAAGGCTCAGATAGGGTCTTGTCACCAAGTGCGCGTCCTGGAGCAACCCTGGGCTGCAGAAACTCTGCTGGGACTGCCCAGGTTTGGGTCCGCGAGTTGACGCTTTCAAGTTTTCTAAGCACTCTCAACCAGGCTCAAGCTCTTCCACAAGAAGAGGCGGGTGCCGTGGGCCGTGGGCCCATTCTGAATGGTTAGACGCCGAGGGTTGAGGTCGAGACTGGGAGCCTCCCTGTCTCCCGACATGAAGATATCAGCGCTTGACCCTAGCTGAGCCCTCAACTCCGAAACAAGGGGATCCGTTGGCCCTGCGATCATTCTTGCAAAGGCTCCAATCAAATCCAATCAAACTTGAAACGGCCGCCATTGTCTTGAAAGTCGAGACTTGACCGACCCGAGGGCAGCTTGTTCGCCCCAAATGGATTTCTTTTCAAAGCAACCTTCCCGCAGCCTGGATGCCCTGGCAAGGCAAATCTTTCCCAAGCACCGACCTCCGACCTCTGAGTTTCGATGTACTGCCAGGCACTCGCGATGGCAGGCCGAGCTCGGAGTTTAGCTTGAAAAGGGTGGTTCAATGCAGCACTCGTGTGGAACGACTGAGGGGGTTCGGAGTTCAAGACGGCCGTCTTTGGGGCGTTGTAGGGTTTCATGCGGGGTTTGGCTAGGATTCGGACAGTTTGGAAGGTTTCGGAGTGAGCCCGACTTGTACCCGACCCGCTGAACATACCCA